CCCCACCCACGGCCAGCGCCCGCCACGGCTGCTCCCCAAAGGCAGCTATCCTGGCATTTTAGCATTAGTGGCATCATTATTATTAAAAAAAAAAATAATAAAAAGAATAAAAGTTTCCGCAGGTGCTCGGTCTCCCGGAGAGGGGCCGGGGGTGGGGAGCGGCCGCGCCGCTGTCCTCGTGCGGTTGACGCCCTTTGTCTTTCGTCTGTAGAACCTTTCCCTGCAGCGGAACCGCGCAGCGGTGGCGGCAGGGATGCCAGACCGGGAATGGGCAGGGAACGCCTGACACGGGGCACGGCAGGGGTATAACCCTGGCCGTGGGTAGGAGTGTTGCATTGGGCACGGGTAGCAGGAAAAAGAGGGCAAGAAACAAAAAGGGAAGTCTGTATGTGTGAGAGATGGAGGAAGGTAACGGGAAAAGCCACTTGGTAGAGTGTTTCATAGACGCGCAAAAAATTGAGACCCGACCAGGCGAGACTCCCTATTACTTCTGAAGAGCGCTTGCCACAGCCACCCGCTGCGCTATCAAGAGAGCGAGCGTTCCTCAGAGGCATTGCTCTCAGGATGCACCTTTCCCTGTTGATTTTTCCACGAGGTATCCTTCCTCAGCGACTAGCACCGGACAGGCTCCGTGGCAGCAGCCAGAGGTCGGGACGGAGCGGGACACGCCGGGACCCCAGGCGGAGGCAGGGACGGGCGCGCTCGGACCCGGGAGGCTGCGGAGGGTGCGGGGTCCCCGTCTGTGCATCCCTTGCCCTGCCCTCCGGGGCTGCCCGGGAGCCCGCACCTGCTCAGGGCTCCCTTTCTGCCTCCCGGCTCTCGGCTCCTGAGCCGTAAAGCGCAGAAAAATGACCCGAAGGTGAGGGCAGGGTAACCTCCAATGTGTGAGTATCAAAACGTAAAGCTGAAGACTGGCGTCACCCTCCATCGCGCTACCGCTTTTGCTGTGAGGCTCAGTTTTGTTTTTTTCTTCTCAGATACAGACGAATGCTCCATATGTTGAATACAGATACAATGCAGAACATTTCTGTCTCTCTGAATACATTTAAGGACAGATACACGTGTCACACGTAGCAGGAACACAGGCTGCGAGTAGATTCTTCTGTCGTGGATGTTCCCTTCACTGCAGAAATTTTCCTTTAAAATGCAAAAGCAGAGATGGGTGTTGTTTTCCTCCCATATCCTCTGTGACTGAATAGGTGTCGCAGAAACACGCAGAATTTTCGAAATCCTGCCGCAAGGAACACCTGGTAAGAAAAGTTTAATTAACTGAGTTTTTTCTTCCCTGAAACAACTTTTGCAGCACGACAGAATTTAAATTCAAACAAACAAAACCCCCAAGTCCCTGAAACACATTTATCACATTTTATGGTCTGTGCTAGTCTACCAGAAAGTTTCAGCTATCATTTGTCTGCCTGAGAACCAAGGTTAGATGAGGTAGACACTTGCACTTCACTCTAGTCCTATTGTCTATTATTTCCATGATACAGAAAGACCAATCTGCAGCTAATTTTGTTCTGTGGGTGTTCAATAGTTCAGAAAGCTCTATGAATGGGAATCATATTTCATAGATATTTTCTAGTGCCCACTTTCTGTCACAGAGTTCTTCCATAGTCTAATTACCCATATTCTTATGTAACTGGAATTTAAAGGAATGATTTTTTTTGCCCCCTCAGGAAGAGAGTAATTGCCATTTTTCTTGCCATTAAAATCTGTGATCACCTAATTGCTGCCTTTTTTGTTTTCTGGTTTTTTTTTTTCCTGATCATTTTTCTGATCAAAAAAATCATTTGCTAGTGATTTGAAAGGGACAAATATGTGGTATGTTTTGAACCATAATGGTTTTTTGCCATTGGTCTGTTTCCATTTTCTTTTTCTTGGAAACTGACAAGGCAAAAATTTCAGTGTTGAAAATCTTCTTTGCTTTCTTACTATGCTTTATGTTCCTGACATATTATCTTCAAGTTCCCTGGATCAGGCTCAACTGAGCTTGGACATTTTTGGGTTTTTTTCAGTAGAACTCAGCTGTCATCTTTTTCTCAGACATTCCTTTACTTATTTTTTCTACCTTTTCCCTACATCAGCACCTTGTACTGCTTCACAAAGAATTGTATAATAGGAATTTTAACTCTTTTAACAATTAATTTTCTTAATCACCTCAACTTCAAATCATCTTCATATCACATTTATCCCAATAAAGAAGAGAAACTGTTATAAGGCGAAAAAACAATCTCTCTCTTTGCAGATCTCTCTCTCTCTCTCTCTCTCTCTCCCCCCCTTTTATTTTTAAATATTCTTAGCTAAAGAAAAACGTCTCTAACTATTCATTAGTGCTGGTCAGTTTCAGAAGCCCAGTTTATCTTTACTTGCTCTCAGCATGTGATTTAGCCAGCCTGTCCAGGCCTATAATTCAGGTCAATTCACAATGGTGAGGCACTGGAGATAACGAAACCATCAGGTAAATGGCAGACTCATGGAAGAACAGATACATAAACCTCTGTTTACTTTGTCATAAAACTACCATCATAGCAATATGGATAACACCAAACACAAAAGCTGTAATCACCAAGCAGAGGGAGAATACCATTCTGCTAATGCTCCTGCAGTAGTAGGTACTGGGTATTATAAGGAACTCTCAATATTCCAATTACCAGCCTTATGCCTTTGGAACAGAAATAAACACAGAATGAATGGAACAAAGTTCAAGATGTTCAATCTTGCCATTAAATATATTTATGTCTCAGAAATTTTTTAATGGGTATTTTATATTTTTTTAGCTAAACTTAGCAGTAGTTATACAAGTATGAAAATTCCAAGGGGATGGTCATCCAGAAAATGTTTCATACAAACTGTCTAAAGATACTCAAAATCTTAAACTTTATTTTAGTTATGATGATTAACCTGCAGAAATTTGCCCCTACAGAAGTTTGGCCATCAGTAGTTTAGGTTAAGATGCTGGGCAGAAAACTGATGACTAAAATTAATTTCTATCATGTCAGGTCAAAGGACAAGCTCAAGCAAAGCAACAGGACAGACAGGCAAGGGTATTCAAAGCACATTTAAATCATTAATGTAGTCAGACACTGCAGCAGAATTTCCCAGGCATTGTGAAGTCTCAGCATCACTTTTCCTGAGCTGAAAAATAAGTCAAGGGGGTTTCTTGTGTTTGGTCAGCACAGTGATGTTCAAAATTTGATGGTGTATTCAACTGTTGAATGTCCTGGAGACCATCTCTGCTGCAAAGGATATCAGAAAAGAATTCACAAGTAAAAGGCAGATGGTGCTTTACACATTAGATCATCTTTAAGAAAGTAAAACATTAAGCATCCTCTCCACTTCAAAGCCAACCTCCTTTAGTCATTCTACGACTCAATTTTTTAGATTTATGAGGTTGTGCACTTTAAGGAATCCTTGAGAAGTAGACTGAGTAGTAAGAGCTTACTGATATAGAAAAAAACCTAAACACATAAGCAACCACATTATTGTCTGCATCAGAAGAATTTCTTAATATGCAACAAATTTCTGCTACATTTTTAAGGAGCCACAAATCCATAGAAACTTCCTGGATGTCCAGTGAACTCCTCCTTTGTGTTTTAAAGTTCTGGGGTCTAAAACTGTTAAAGTGGCATTCTGTGCAGCTTCTCCATATGAGGTGAACATGCATGGCAGAGTTGGTTTTTTTTGATGCTTTGGAGTTTCAAACAGCAACACCATCTCAGTATCCTAGGGAATCATGATCCTCAAATCACAGAAAACTTAAAACTCTCATTTTAACAGAATAATCTGAAGTATCATTTCTCCTTTTAATTTTTTTCCCATTAAAGCACAGCCAATACATTTTAAGAACTTTGAGATTCTCTAACCCTTCTCATGAAAAAATAGATTCTATAATTACATTGCTATAAAAACAATGTATATGCATCTATACACTAACAGTTAAAGCAACTGAAAATCCAAAATTTTAGGACACACACATACATACACACACACACACATATATATATATATATATATATATAACAATTTGGAAATTGTTTAATAAAAGTCAGTTTGGATAAAAAAGGCCATTTTTTTTTCCCTTTTACTAAAATCCTTCCATATGAGAAAGCAAACAGTGCAGTTAGAAGTGCCACCACAGTGTGTCATGGGAGTTATGCTTCGGGCACCTCCTCCTTACTCTCACTTCTTAGCAATTCATTCCCTGGCCAGACTGCATCTTTCTCATTTCTCTGATTACACATTTTCCCCAAATACCTAAGTTAATCAATTTTTCATTTCTCTCCAGTGAGCTATGAATATTTTAATTTAGGTTCCAGGGTATAATATATACAAGAGACATGGGTGAAAAGCCTGATATAACTTTGTAGAGTATTGCATATTCATGTAATCCACTGTTCATCAGACTGATCATGCTTTGAAATTTTGTGTTAAATTGATGAAATAGTTAAAAGGTACAAAATTGCTGTTTTAATACTGTTACTGTTGGACTGATAACAATGAGTATCGACAATACCTGAAAGAATAAAATGAAATTGATGTGAATTCAGATGTTTGACTCTGTTTTTCCCATGATATTCAGTTTTTGTCAGCAATTATTCTTCAGCATTCTGCGGAACATGGTAACCAAAGACATAAGTATGCACTGTTATATTACACTGGTTCAATTATGCCATATAAATAGGATTTGGACTCCACACTCTGAAACTATTGAAATCATCTCTCCTGCCTCCTTCACAAATTTCTCAAAGAATTGTGCTTTTTCCTTGAACTCAAAAGAGAATTTACTTTAACTAGTTATTTAAAATCACACGGCCATGAAGGGATTTTGAATTAAAAACGCTGAGGAATATTTCCTCTGTGCACAGTAAAGGGGCAATATGTTATTAGTACTGTAAATCACTGAGATTATGCTGAGACCTTCAACTTGATCAGATATGAGTTCTTCCCCAGGAGTCCTTAAGAGATTGCCAGCCAACCAGTAGCCTTTCTTTTTATTCTCTTATTTTTTCATTTTTTTTTTTAAATAAAGGTAGCCTCAGTCATGGATAGCATTCCACACTTCTTCCAATGCAACATAAGGAAAGACTAAAAATCACTTAGAAGTGTGTTCTTTTTTCAGTTTTTAGTTAATTTTCTTCTTCAGAAAATTTAGTTAAACAATGACAAAGCACCAGTTTTATATTAATTCTAAATATACAAAATTTTTTGCTTGACCATTTATGAGTAAATAATTTAGAAATCGTTAAATCTAATTGTTCTGGATTTGGGAGTGATACTCAGAAACAAAATATGGATTCAAAGAAGTGTGGTTTCAGTATTGTGCCAGCACGCACATACCAAGTGTATACCGCTTCTGCAACTTCCAGCTTTTTTACCTAAGAGGGATGGAAAGCGTTTATGTAATTTGCACATCTGTGAATTGAAATTTGCATGCATAGTATTTAAGAAATTCCTTGGAGATTGAAAAGCAGACATCCCAATAAAGACAAACAAAGTGGTAATAAGTATACATGTTAGAACAGCAAACACAGCCAACCAATCATTTACAACATAA